TTTGAATCATTATAATCTTATTGTTAGCTAATGTTTGCTAGGCACTTTCCAGAGCTCTTTTATAAATCACTGCATTGAGTCCTTAGAAAAATCCTGCTCAATAGGTACTGTGATTACTCCCTATTTACAGCTGAGGAAATTGAGGCTCAGGAGATAAAGTAGCTTGGCCAAAGGCACAGAGTTCGGTGGCAGCAGAGGGGGCTTGAATGAGTGAGAGTTTGTGGACCAGCGCCTGTCAGCAGGAGAGCTGAGAGTCTCACTCTTTTCCAGAATCACAGCTCCCTCCCACTCTGAGTCAACTCTATCCATCCTTCCAATCCTCACCTCCCTGAGGAAAGATAGTGAGAGTAGAGGAAAGGGCTTCCCTCATGGCTGTGGCTATGGCTGGCAGACCCTGGGGTCATTCACCCTAAGCAGGTCCCGTCTCTACCCCATCTGACCCTAGATACGCTGCCAGTTTTCTCAGCCTCAGTTTTCTCACCTTTAAAGTCAGGAGAATAAGCAGGGTCACTGGGAGACTTGTGAAATAGAAAGAAAGGGCTGTGTAAACTGTGAAGTGCAATGCACACAGGGCCACTGCCGTCGCTGCTTTTCTCCAAGCACCATGCTTAGCACTTTTCATGCGTTTTCCCTTTTCATCCACATGCAACCCTGTAAGTGACCAACTGGTTCTGGTTTGCCTGGAACTTTCCAGGCTTGATCACTTAAAGTCCCACGTCCCAGGAAATCACTCAGTTCTGAGCAAACCTGCAAGGTAGGTAACATTTTCTCCATTTTCCAGGGGAGGAAACTGAGGCTCAGAGTGGCTATGCAGTAGCCCCGGGTCCCACAACCAGGAAGGGGCCTGGGTCTCTGGGCTCCACAGCTGTCATCTGGCTGAGGCACCTGGCTGGTCCCTGTGGACAGTGGGAGCCATGGAATGTCCAGGGCAGTGGCAGGCTCATGCCTGGGAGCTCACAGCCCACCCAGACAGGCCTGTGCCATGCAGCAGTTGAGATGTCAGCCAGCGATACACTTCAGAGAAGCACAATCTGAATGAACAGCAAAACACCCGTTACCCTCCCTTCCACGTTTAGGTTTCGCCTTTGAAGCCACAAATGCCTCAAATAAGTTAAACATGGACTCCAGGCCCAAGAGACTCGGGCCCCAATTGCTTCCAAATGGGACTGTAGACTCGCCTCCCAGAAGTGTGGTCGTGCACAGGTAGTTTCAGATGCCTGGGGGGGTCCCTGGCAGAGCAGGAAGGGGCCGCATTCGTTCCCGGAAGGCCAGGCCTTGGATTGGGAAGGCTCAGGGTCAGGGTCAACAGGCCTGGGGCAAACCCCAGCTGAGTTCTATTGTCAGACGCCATTCACTAAGTGATCACTGAGTAAGCCCATAGAAGTCACTGAATTCTCAATGTGTTATTGTCCCCATTTTACAGACGGACAAGCAAAGGCTGAGAGGGAGCATGTCTTGCCCCAGGTCACCAGGGGCAGAGCCAGGTCAGACCCAGTATCTGACAGCCCCCAAGTTCCCACTATTGGCCTGCATTTCCCACCTCCTGCATACTCAGGGGTGACCTGGGGGTCTCTGCCCTTTGCCTCCTGGTTGGTTCGTCTGGAAGCTGGGAGTAAGAGTCCACACCTCCAAGTGTGTTGAGAGGACTCAGAGAGATTGGGTTTGCAGAGCACTCGGGAAAGACCGGGATCGTGACAGCGAAATGATTGATAATTGTGATTATCATTGATCACCAGTGAAGGGGCTCTTCACGTTCAAGTACACAATTCACTCCTGTATTTTTGCTGCCTGTGGGCCCATGACACCTGCAAGGGGCCTAATCCTTATGTCCAACAGTTCTGACATGGGCACTTCACCCTCCTCAGCCGCTTACAGGTGCAGAAATGCAGCCCAGAGCTAAGGATCTTCAGCTGCTAGGTCGTGGGGCTGGGATTTGAAACCAGGCAGGCTGGGTCTACACTCTAAGTTTGATTCCACAGGATGGAGACTCCCAGAGGTAGCTGGGACCCCTGCGACAGGGACAGAGCCAGGGAAGCCTGGCTTTGCTTGGGAGAAGGAAGCTGGAGGGCTCTGCTGGGGCCCCCGGGGCACTCTGGGCACTCAGATGGGCCCACTGTTAGATGCCCTTGGTTCCTATCTGTTTCCTCTGTAAAGTAGAAGCTGAACTCCCAAAGGAAATGAAATCAGGGTGCAGGGACGGAGGTTGGGTGGGCTGGGGTGGGGGAGGGAGCCACGTTAGATTGAATTGTCAGGGCAGCTGGCTGAAGAGGTGACATTAGGGCTGAGTCCTGAAGGATGGAACAGAGCTAGACTTGTGGAGAACCGGAGACAGCACACCTGCTCACCAAGCCTCATCTGTAAAGGATGCAGGGTGGAGTTGTCCCCACCCTTGAGGAGGTCAGAGACTGAAGTGAAGCAGAAGCCCAGGCCGCTCTGACTCATGCGACCCAGGCAAAGCTCAGAGGAGCAAGGGGCTCCAGGAGCTGGAGGGGTTGACTGGGGAGCCTCAGGGGCCCGAGGGCTGGATCACAGCCGGCCTGGGGACTGTAGCTGCATCCCCAGCAGAAGGAAGGAGGACCAGCGAATGAGCTTGGGGTATGGAGCTCAGGGCACACAGGAAGCAGTGGGCAGGGTGCTAACCCACAGCGCTGAAATCTGCCCCTGGAGGGGCAGGGATGGGCTGACAGGACAGGACAGGACAGAGGCTGAGGCCCTCGGGCTGGGAGGGGGAAGGGCCACAGATGGGAAGCAGGTGAGGGTTGGATGGGAGGCAGGAGACAGATGAGGCCTGGACAGGGAGGAAACGGAGAACAAAATGGAGATAAGATTTCAAAGACGCGTCAGACAGTGGCAGCGGCTGGACCGGGAAGGGCAGGGGTGGGGTGCGTGGGGAGGTCCGGGGGGCCGGGGGGGGGGGGGGGGAGGGGAGGGCTAGGGACAGCTCTGGGCCAGCCTCCCCCAGAGCCCTGTCCACACCGCCGTGTCTCCACCACAGTCCACTGTGTCCCTGACTCTGTCTAGGTGAGACTCACTCCCACCATTCAGGGGTGAGCCTAGTGCCAACTGTCCCCTGCATCCCTGGCCACTGTGTGATCCCTGCTGTCCCTGTCTGTGTCCCCACAGCTCTGGCCATGCCCTTGCCTGGTGACAGCACCCACACTCCAAGGGGTCAATGTCCCTCTGTGGTGGGAGGGGAAATCCAGACCCCAAGCACACAGGGCTGCCCACAGTGTGGGACTCCCCTGAGCTCCTGCAGCCCCAGGTTTCAGAAGCAGATGGGACCCCAAGGGAGGGGCTGGTAGGGCACGGGAGAAGCCTCTGCAAAGCTGAGTCCCTGGAAGCATCTACAACCTGGACGAACTGAACGTACTGCCACCCGACCCAGCCTCCTGTTTACACGGCATCCTAGGTGGCCCGCAGGTGGCTCCAGGGACACAGAGGCATGCAGATCCTGCGGTAGCCCCCGAACTGCAGACATCAGCCCAAAGCGCCCCCCCCCCCACTCCTGCAACCTTTCTGCACTACAGGTGTTGGCACCAGGCAGCCGGGTCGACACCCAGCTCCACTTGGCACTTGCTGGGAGCCATCGGCAAGCTGTTCAGCTCTCAGGGGCCCAGGTGTGGATGGGTCGATGGTGGGACCTGCATCCCAGGGTCAATGTTAGGGGCCAGTGAGGGCCTGGCACACAGTAGGACCTCGCTGAATTGGCATATGATCCCCTGCCATCTCCATGGCTGTACTGGGAATGATGGCGTATGAAGGACCCAACTAGAGGGTAAGACTTAGGGGCATCCCCGGGGCACCCGCCCAGGGGCATGAGGCAGTGTTGGAACCCAGGGTGGAAGGGAGAGCTGAGGAGGTGTCCCGATGGAGTGGATTGGGAGGCGGTGAGAGAGAAGAGTCAGGTTTCTGGCCGGAGTCAGAGGCAGGAAGGAATTCCCCGTGTAGAGATGGGGAAGGTCGTGGAAGGACCCGGCTGGGTGGGGAGGAGGTTGACCTTTAACTTCATGCACTGAGGGCAGCATGTGGGTGCAGCGGAGGATGGGACTGTGCGGTGAGTGACACTTTACAGTGGTTGCAGAAATGCCACTGAGTGCGGGCAGCTTGGGCAGCTCGGGCGGTGCATCAGGGCAGAGGGGCTGTCACCCCCTCCCCCCGCCCCAGCACAGGCACAGGGAGAGCAGCTCCTGGCACTGCAGGGCTTGGGATCTGACCACCCAGAGGGGCAGGAGTGAGTGGTGCAAAGCAGAGGCTGGGCCAGGTGGGCAGAGCCAGCAGGTAGGCATGGGGATAGGGAAGAACCAAGGAGGTGGGTTCTCAGTGCTCCTTTGAGAGTCCTGGGACCCATCAGGCCAGTGACGGTGGTCTGCCTGCAGCCTCTGACATCAGGGCACACGGCGCAATGCCCGCAACCTGGAGTCAGACAGGCCCAAGTTTGAATCCACCCTCTATTTCCCAGTGGACGACCCTGGGCAGCCCAGTCTGAAATATCTCTGGGATAAAAATCTCTGCTCAGTGACATTGAACTGGGAGGTTTTAATCCTCCTCTTTCTGTGCATTAGAGCAAACCCAAATCCACTTCTGTAAATAACTTTATCTCGGTTACAGTTTATCAGGTACATATTCCTCGCCAGTCCTTCTGCTAAGCACTTTACATGAATTATCTTGTTTAATCTTTATCCCAACCTTAACCTCGGCTGTTGACTCCTGGGCCAGTGATTGCCGAGGGGCCAGTTGTCCACTAAAAGTCTTCCGGTTTGTGATAATGGAAACACATCATCTGAATACACACAAAAAACTCTACTTCTAACCTCTAGAGCTGTGCAACTCTAGCCCGTAGCCCCGTGTAGTCACTGAGCACTTGAGGTCCAGCCAGTACCAATGACACCTGCAGCTGGTATAAAATACACACCAGATTGTGAACACATATACGAATGAAATAATATAAACTATCTCATTTATTTTTATATCGACTCTATGTTGAAATAATAACATTTTGGATATATTGGATTAAATAATCTTTTATTGAAATTAATTTCACCTGTTTCTATTTTAATACGACTCCTAGAAATCTTTAATTGCATATATTTTATGCATTCGACCGGACAGCCCTGCAAAACAGCTCCAGAGCCACCAAAGTATCAACAATTATCATCAAACACGAAGGTTCCAACCCCTGGTTTATGTCACCGGACATCTCTTCTAACTTCCCAGGGGGCACTCCCTACAGGTGCCAACTCTGCCGGACCCAGAGTTGGTTCTGCGTAGGCATTAGAAAACCAGCTAGGCTTACGGGGCTTGGCCCAAGGTCTCCCCAAAGGTCAAGACACAACCCATAAAAGCCACAACCACAGGTTCTTTCTGGAAGGTTTCCTCACAGGTGGCTCAGAGGGTCAGGCACAAGGCTGGTTCATTCTCATCTCAGGCCCCAGTCCAAATGTCACTTCCTCGGAGATGCTGTCTGGACACCGTTGAACACTGTGGATGCGTAGGGGCAGTAGGGCAATGCCTCACTCAGGCTGGGCGACCCTCAGCTCACCTCCTGCCTTGGGGTTTCTCCCCGCACATTGCATGGTGGAAACCCACTTGGAGCCCACACATTTGCAACCCAACCGTTCAGGAAGAGATAATGCCCAATGGGGCGAACCAGTGACCAGAAAATGGGGTAAACCTTTGAGCAACGGGGGACTGGTGTGGTGGACAAACCCTTCCCCCATCTCGCCACTTGTCCCATGGATTTGAGCAGACACTGTCCCTAGATAGCAGAGGCCAGCTTGATGACAGGCCCTCACACTGACCCTCCCTCCCCCCGGTTCGTTCTGCGTCCCTCAATCCTCCCTGGGATCACGCTCCTCACAAAGTACTTGCACTGATGCCTTGTCTCAGGCCCTGCTTTCTGGGGGGCCCAGACTAAGACAGAGTCCCTCCCTGGCGGCCCGTTCCCAGTCCCTGGTTCCCCCATCTCAGCATCTTTTATGCTCCTGACGACTGTGTTTGCTTGTTTGACTTGTGTTTTCCTCTCTGCCCAGCTAGACTGCAGGCTCCATGGGGTTCCACCTCCAACACCTGAAACTGGGCCTGGTGCACACTTGGTGCTTGGTTGAAAGGAATGACCCCGACCAAGTCTGACTGCTCCTCTCTGAGCACATTAGACTGAAAAGCCAGGACTCCGCATGCATCAGCTGGGTCAGGCATAGTTAGAACAGAATACCTAGTAAGCTGATAGGGCTTCATCCTGGGGAGAGAAGATGCTGCTTTTCTGAAAAATAGGATGGTACCTTCTGGATCCACCCAGAGAGGACCTTGCCCTTGAAGGTGCTGAAAGTCCACAAAGGAGCAAGTATTGAAATCCACCAGTCAGAGAGCACTTGGAACAGTTTCGGGGACAGATAATCCTCTCCTGGAGCCTTGATGGCCTTGAGCTTCTAAATCAACTGGGATATCAGGAAGTATCCCCAATGCCCCAGAGAGCAGCCTGGGAGAGCTGACGACATGGACTTCCTTTTGCAAAATGGCAAAGGTACTAAAAGTACTGAGCATCCCTGATTTCACCAGCCTCCCAGGGGGGGCTTCCTCAGGGGTTGGGGTGGAGACGAAGCAAGATACCGCATGCAGGAGCCCCGGACATAGGCACTGTCTTCATTATTCTTCCCACCTAGGACCCTGAACCTCATTGTCAGACCTAAGAGGCAAGCCCCGGTCCACTCACACAGACCACATCCTCACCAGAGGATGCAGGGTCTAGAGCAGGGGTTCTCTACCAAGGGCAAAGTTAGCCACCCTCCCGGGGCAGGTTTGGCAACGTCAGGGGGCATTTTGGGTGGTCACAGCTGGAAGGAGGGTGCTACTGGCATCGAGTGGGTAGAAGTCAGTATGTTTAATCCTCCAGAGCAAGGACAGCCCTTCACGTGAAGAATTAATCAGGCCCAAATGTCCGTAGAGCTTGGTTGAGAAACCCTGAGTTGAGGATGCAGGGTGTGTATGGAACTGTCCCTGCTGCACAGGGCAGCGTGACCCCAGCAGACCTGGGGCCGAAGCCCGGGCCCCCTCTGACTGGCTGTGTATCCTTGCGCAAGTGAAGTTCCCCTTCTGAGCCTCAGCCGCCTCGACTATAAAATGGGGAAGGCCACACCCATCTCTGTAGGTTGCAGGAGGATTAAATGAGATAATGTATAATAGGGTTTAACTCAGTTCTTCTCAAAAACAGCTCAAGGAATGGGGGCTGTGCTAGGTTGAATAGCTCCCCCCCACCAATTCATGTCCAACTGGAATCTCAGCCTGTGAATTTATCTGGAAATAAGGTCTTTGCAGATGTAATTAGTTAAGCTAGGATGAGGTCACACTGAATTAGGGTGGGACCAAAATCCAATGACTAGTGTCTTTATAAGAGAAAGGAGGGGGACATTCAGACACACACCGAGGAGACCCCCACAGGGAGAAGGCCACGTGGAGACAGAGGCTGAGATCAGAGTGATACAGCTACAAGCTAATCTGGGGCTATGGCCATCCGGTGGCTGGGCTCATCATTACCTGAAGGGAACAGACCCAGAGCACACAGCGGCCTCCACCCGCTGAGGGGACCCACATACAACTCAGCGCCCAGGCTGAGTCTGGAGCTCGGGGGTTTTCTCCTCACATCGAGGAGAACGTCTGTATCTCCAGACACCCAGTCATGTCTGGGAGTCACCAACAGTCCGCAGTGTACACCATCAGTGCCACCTGTGTGCACCAACCCTGGGGTATGTCCAAGGTGGTGACGGCACACAGCATGATGTGTGTACCAGCCACGTGTGTCTAAGGAAAGGAGAACAAATTTGGAGGATGCAGACAGAGCCCGTGGCACACACGTGTGCACATGGGGGCAACACCAGGTGCAGCCCACACACTGCATCCCCGGCAAACGGACGGTATTTACAGCACACAGCGAGTCTGCGGCACCCGGGCGCACGCACAGCTTGCTGACGATACCTGCGGCCAGAGAGGATGTCTGCCCGCAGCGATGGCTCCAAGGAACTCGGAGTAGCTATGGCACATGGAAAGCAGAGAAGGAGGAAAATCCATTTGGGGCCAAGAGCTCTGTCTGAACTTTGTCCTTTTCTCAAGCAAAAGAAAATATTATTTCACCCTCTAAAGAACCACACATAATAACAGGCGAAATGTCAAGACCAATGTTGATATAAACCCCCAAGGAAAACAAACATCTCTGTACCTTCTCCGCGGCCTCCCCACCTCACCCTGCTCAGCTAGTTTAAACAGATCTAGCGGTGGGCAGAGGGGAGGCGGGGGGAATGGGAAGAGCCTGCCTGGCTGGGAGAGCTTCGAGGGAACCTGGGCCTGTCCAGGACCAGGAGCCGTCTGGGCGAGCCTGGCCTGGAGGGACACACAGACCAGACCAGCCTTTAAGAAGTCATCCTGATTTCAAATCCCGGTGTCACTCACTGGCTGTGTGACCTTGGGCAAGTAGCCTGACCTCTCTGAACCTGAGGTTCCTCATTGGTAAATGGAGAGGATGGTATGGGATAATGCAGTAGGGCACCAAGCACGGTGCCTGGCACATTACTGATCGTTACCCTCTGTCAGGCCAGGTCTCCCCAGGGGGTAGGGGGTGGCGGCGTCACCAGGGAGGCCCCCAAGGCTGCATGATCACGTGAAAAAACATTTCCTGAGCACTCATTAGGTGCCGGCGCTAGCCTAGCTGCCCTACTGAGATCACCTCATCGAATCCATGCAGCCCTGTGGAGATTACCATCGAGCTGCAAGAGGGGGGACAGGTTTGGAGGAAGTGAAGGGACTTGCCCAAGGTCACACAGCTGGGAAGATGGACTGAAGTTTAAAGCCACATGTGTTTGGCTGCAAGAGCCCGGGCAGGTCTCATCCAGGAAGCTGGAAGCCCAGTTGTAGCCCCAGAGTTTGCAGGACTCGCCACACCCTGAGATGTGTGTTGGGGGGGGGTGTTGGATTACACAGCCCAAGAGACCCCCCCCAGGTTTGGCTCGGGCTTGAAACCCCAATTCACTAGCCTTTGGCTATTGGTCCTCCAAGCCCCACCCAGGTGATCTTCCAAACTTCCAGTCCACTTTTTCTTTTTCTTTTCTTTCCTTTTTTCTTTTCTCTTCTTTTCTTTCCATTTCTGAATTGGAGGCAATCCAACAAATACTCGTTGAGCTCCCTCTCCATGCTGGACGCTGGGCTGAGCACTAGAGGCCCAGAGTTAAAGTCTTCCTGAGCCGAACCCTCAAGAAACTCCCCATCCAGTGGGGGTGGGGGTGAGGGAGCCGGACAGAGGTAACAAGACTCTTACAATATGACCAATACTCACTTCCATGGTGCCTGTGTAAGCTCCACTAGGACCATAGGAGAAGGGGCACCTGAGACCTCCAGGGGAGTCAAAGGGAGGTGGCATCCGAGTCAAGACTTGAAAAGGAACAGTAGTTTGCCTGGAGGACCAGAGGGGAAGGGTGTTCAAGGCAGAAGGAATGGCGCATATAAAAGCGTGGAGGCAGCAAAGCCCCGAGTGACGGGGATCTGCACGCAGTTCGTGCTGATACTGAGCGTGGGAGACTGGCAAGACAGGGTAGTGGGCTGACCCAGGATGCCCCAACAAGAAAGTAGGACAGAGAGGCTGGCAGGGGCCATGGTGGGTTTTACTGAGGTGGGCTTTATTGCAAGAACAATGGGGAGCCACTGAAGGGACATACCCAAATCAAATTTGCCTTTGAGAGAGGTGGCTCTCTGTACAGTAGGGAGGAGAGTTTAGAGGAGCAGGGCTGGAGATGGGAGACCAGCGAGAAGGCAAGAGAATATGGTGGCCTGAACGAGGGCGGTGGGCCGGGGGACACGGAGGAGGGGGAACAGAGGACGTACAGCAGGTAGAAGTGATAGGACCCGGTGTCCCACTCGCAGCAGGAGTGAAGAACACAGGAGAAGAGGGAGGCGTCTACAGGATGCTCCGACTTCACGCCTGGTTGGAGGCTGATGGTGATGCCCCCGAGATGGGCAGCCCAAGAGGAAGTCTCATTAGGTGCTCCGATGCGGATGTGCTGAGTCTGCGGGGCCAGAAGGGTGTCCCAGCGAAGACACCAGGACACCAGGAGGCGGTTGGCTCTGTGGGTCAAGAGGGAAGCCAGAGCTGGGGTGCAGGTTTGGACATCACCCCTGTGGTCGTGGTGGCTGAGTTCCCCCAGGGAGCGTGGTCCATGTGCACCAACATTCAGGACAGGGGGCAAAGGAAGAGTTGTCAAGAAGCAGCTGGAGTAGAAGCAGCCAGAAGGTGGTGAACCAGAGGAGACAGGGGGTAAGCAGGAGGTAAGATGAAGCCCAGAAGCTGGACAAGTGGACGAGATGACCCAGGGGTCAGAGGTGGCCTCACCCGGGGCCATTTCAGGGGAGACTTGGGAGGAGAGTGCAAAGAGCTGAGGGGTGGGTGGGGGTGATGAGGCGGGCATATGGGGGGGCACACACTGGGCTTTTAAGATCTTGGCAGGAGATGGAAAAAGAGATAGAAGGTGGTAGCTAGCAGGAGCCTCAAGGTCAAGGAAGGGCTGTTATCTCAAAATGGGGCAGTTGAAGAGCCGCTGGTGAGTCAGGAGTTCAAGCCACAGGAGCTGATCGGTGACTGGAGACGAGGAGGTCCCTGTGGAGACCAAGGTTGAGGTCCGGAGCCCGTGCTGGGAGCGTGGTTCCCACACTGAGACTGAGTGACAGAAGTGACGAGTAGGAAGGTCAACCCAGAGGGGGCGGAGGGAAAAGCGGCCAGACCCCAGGCCGGGGAGCTCGTCAAGGGCGGGCTGAGGCCTCCAGCAGGGCCGCAGAGAGCTGGAGAGGCCCCGGCTCTGGACGCAGGCTGACCCGAGTTTGCATCCCAGCTCCGCCACTCAGCAGCTTCGTGACCCTGCGGTCCCCCCGCACCGCTGCTCCCTCTTCCCTGAGACCAGGATAGCAACAGTCCCTGCCCCATGGGAACACATGCATGAAAGGCATCCAGCACAGGACCCAGCGAGCAGAGGACCTCGATAAATGCAAGCGAATAAGAATAATAAATAATGAGGAGCCATCGAAGGGTTCTGAAGCCGGGAAGTGACAAGGTCAAATCTGTATTTTAGAAAGACCCCGCTGGAGGAGGTGGTAGCCTTGGGGAGAAACTAAAAGGTCGTGCACTTCTCGAGGTATTTCTCTGAAGTCTGTGGGAAGTTTGTAGTGTCAGGTTAAAGATTTTATTGGTTCCATGTTTGGTTTTTGATTCGGCTGTTTCCTCGGGTCCTCACGCGTCCGATGCCGGTCTTACTGGCGGACTCATGACTGGCCTGGTGAGTTGGGTCTATCTGGGGCTTTGAGGTGTATTTCAGGAATGAAATGAAGTGGTGGGAAAAGTAAATACAGAAAAAAAAAATTAAATAACGGCGAGGGTGGATTTGGGGGAGGGCCTGGGCCAGGGGATGGGTGGTCCAGCGGTGCCCTGAGGAGGATGCGGCAGGGCGAGGGCTGCTGGCCCGACCGGGGAGGGGCTGGGGGTGATTCCTTGTGAAATCCCTGGTCTGCTCCCAGGGATGACAAGCGGTCGGGATTCACACACAGGCCATCCCCCCCCTCACGCCCCTCACGGCCTCGGCAGGAGAAGCTGCCACTCGGGAACAGCACTGACACATCTTGTAGGACACTCCTGGGTCCGCGGTGAGCCCGAGGGTGTAGCATTGGGTAGGATGGAAGACTAGCAGTGATAATAGTATAATAACAATGGTTATTACTGAGTTCTCCCCCCTCGTCAAGCTGCACGGCTCTGATGAGACAGACGCTGTCATCAGTCCCGTTGCACAGAGGAGGAGACCAGGGCTCAGAGAACACTGCTTGCCCGAGGCCTCGGCTTGGACTGGAGCCCCTTGGAAGAGATGTCCACGCTCTTACCCATCCTGCTTCACGGACCCCGGCCTGTGGGGAACCCTGGGCAGTGCTTCTTCCGTGAAGCCCCAGGGCGGCTGAGTTGCTTTGCCAGTAACTCAGGCATAAAAGTAGAAAGAGCCCAGGGGAGCATGCGGCCTCCCCTTCCAGCACTCTGCTAACCTGCTGTGTGACCTTGGGCAAGTGGCTTCCCCTCTCTGCACCTTGGTGGCCTCCTCCTCCGTCGAGTGTGATCAGTCAGCACCTGATCTCTGGGGGTTGGGATCTCATTGGCTCCCGCCTACCTCGGGCCTAGCACACAGTAGGCACTCCGCAGAGTCCCGAGCCCTCTTCCAGGGCTGCCCCGTCAGGGCCGATTATCTCCATGGAATCCACACTGTGAAAATAAACATGAACTCAAGTGGCCCCGGTCTCCGTGGCAGCCAAGGGGAAGCTCGGTCCCCAGCCTGTGTCTGTTCTGGGCAAGAACAAAAGTTTCCCTGTGAAGTTGCCCCCACCCCGCTTCCCTTTCGGAGCCAGCTGGGAAGGGGAGGAAGGGTAGGGGGAGGGGCCAGGCCCACAGCCGGTGAGCCCAGCTGCCTGTCAACACCCAGCCTCCCTCCCGCCCAACCCCATCCCAACACCACCCAGGGCTCAGGCAGGTGAAGGGCCCCTGAACCCAGGAGCCCCAGGGGCAGAACGCTGGGTCTGGTAGTAGGATTTGAGGAAGAGAAGGTTTCCACGGGTGGCCCTGGGGACCGAGCGTGTGGGACTAGAGTCCAGGGATGTGGATGGGAGAAGCTGCCCAGTTACCCTTGCGCAGAGCGCCGTACCATTCACGCTTCTCACATCCCTTCACCTACCCTCCTCCCGGCTCAGAGCCTCTCCCCTCGCGGGTTTCGGAAGCTGGCGGGAAATGGCCGGTCCTGGAGGACACGGCAGAACTAGCACAGAACTTGGCATCAGAGAGAAATGGCACAAATTCTGGCTCTGTCATAACTTGAGGTGAGAACTTGGGCAGGTACGGTCCTCTCTGTGAACCACCATCTCTGCATCTGCACCACGGGAACGGACCCTCCGACTGGGGCGGAGGGGCAGCCACGTCGAAGTCCAGCAACACGCTTCTGCTCGACAGCTACTGCGCCCACTGAGGACCCAGCAGCATCCTGGGGTAGATGTGAAGCTCACCCACTGTGGGTTCGGACGTGTGACATGTGACAGCCTGGGGGAACATGGGAGCAGAGTACCCAGGAGGAGCAGTGGGCCCCTGGGAGAGGAAAAGAGCCAGACTGAGCCCAGGGCCTGAGGAGCAGAGCGGGGCGCGGGCAGGATGTGAGCACTGTGGGTGGCAGTGCGGCTCAGCACCCACGTGGACACAGCTCTCCTGACTCTCCTGACTGCTCCCTGGGGAGAAAAAGAACTGTGCGGAAGGAAGCCTCACTTCACTAAACTCTGCCCCTTCGTGTGCCCAAGCAGCACTGCTGCGGATCCCCCTAACCGAACAAAACCCAGAGGAATGACCTCCCCTTCCCTTCCAAGGTCATCAGCGCACAGGAAGTCCGCGGGGAGGAGTGTCTCTGTGTGGCCAGTGACCACAGTGGTGAAGTTTGTTCACAGGGCAATGGCATAGGAGGTGAGGGAGGGTGAAGGAATTGTCAAATGACAACAAGGACTTGCGTGAATTATATCTCAATAATTAGCTTCAGCAGCTTTTTTGTAGATTACATTGGATTTTTCTACATGGATGATCATGTCGTCTGCAAATAAATCAATTCTATATTTTCCTTTCAAAGTAAAATGACAAGCAGGACTTACCTGTGGGTGCACGTTCTACACCCCTTGGGGTCTCCCTGAAACACCAAGAAGAATGGGGCCCTGCAATGTGCTAGGTCTCCTGAGTGGAGAGGCTGCTGCGATCAGAGTTATGGAGACCACCGTCCCTCCCCTCCAGGGGAGTCTTGAGAACTCATGACATCAGACCTGTAAAAGTGTCTGATGCGGAGAAGATGTGGAGCCCACAGAATTGGGATCCCTGCCATCTGGAAAAGACATTTAAATGTTGGATAATATTGCTACAGGCTAAATGTTTGTATCCCCACCCACATTCAAGGTTGAAGCCTAATCCCCAATGTGATGGTATTTGGAGGTGGGGCCTTTGGGAGGTGATTAGGTCATGAGGGCTCCATCCTCACGAATGGGATTAGTGTCTATAGAAGAGAGACCCCAGAGAGCTCTCTCACCCCTTCCACCACATGAGGACACAGGTGTCTATGAATCAGGAAGAGGGTCCTCACCAGGCACCGAATCCGCTCATCTTGGACTTCTCAGCCTCCAGAACTGTAAGAAATAAATATCTGTTGTTTATAAGCCGGACTCTGGTATTCTGTTATAGCATCCTGAAGAGACCAAGACGTGTTTTATTCAAAAACTAAACATTCCAATAAAAATTACAAGGTAGGTTTTTAAATCTGTGAAACTCTTTGACTCTGCAATCCTCGTCTTAGGAACTGATCATTAGAAAATTATGAAATGCATCAAGATACAGATCAACCGATTGACAGATGATAGAAAATGTCGTCACAACATCATTAATACAAAAATAACTTGGAGACAATCTGTATTCAACAAAAACATAGAATGCTCTGCCGCTGTTACGAACGACTGTGCTGTGCAGATATACCTTTGTGCTGTGTTTGATTTCTGAGTGAAATAGGTTATAATACAGTATTAGAGCATAATCCCATTTTGGTTTTTATGAATATATATATATGAAAATGTCTGGAAGAAGACTATTTCAAAATATTTACCTGATTATCCCTAAGAGGTGAAATTAGGAATAATGTGCACTGTTTTCCCTGATATTTTTTGTTTTATCTGATTTTCTTGCTTTTCTACAAAGTTATAATGACAACAATATAAATAACTACCATTTATTAAGCACATACTTTGTTCCAAGTACTGCACTGAGGGCTTTCTATATGTTTCCTTATCTAATCCTTATAACAATTCTGGGAGACAGGATTCTTTCCGTTGAAAGTGACAGAATACCCCGTTTGAATACCCAATTCAAACTGGTTTAAGCAAAGAAAGAGGATTAATTCACTTGTGTCAATGGAAAATCATGATTGGGCTTCAAGCAGGGGCTCAAAATTTGTCCACAACTGGTTTCTCTTGACTCTATTCCCCTGGAGCATGTTCCCATTTGGGAGCAAGATGGCTTTGAAGCAGGAGCCAGTCGCACCCTCACAACTGCAAGGCTATGGAAAAGAAGTGGTTCTCAAAGGCCCTAAGGGCTACTCCATTGGACTGGCGTGGGTCACATGACCACCCACCAACCAATCTCTGTGGTCAGGTGATGGGTGCACTGATTGGCGTAAGCCCAGGTCACATGCCCCAGTCACAGAGCCAGGGAGTGAAATCCTAGTTCAGGGTAGGAGAGAATTGGTTCTCCCAAAGCAACAGCAAAAGCAGGGTAATGGATGCTGGATGGGAGGGGGAAAAGCTGTCCACTGCAGTTATCTCCAACTTACTAAGAGGAAGCTGCAGCTCAGAGATGGGAAATAGTTTGTTCAAAGTGATACAGATAGTAAGTAAGGAGGCAGAGATTTGAACCTTCATTGTCTAGCTCCAAAGACCGGAAACTTCGTTACTGTGTGATATTGGCTTCCATGATTACTTGTGTAGTATTTTGATGAATTTAGAAACAAAATAAAGTCATAATCCCCTGTCAATGTGTTTAGGATGCCTGACCGCTTAAGGTCAGGGTGGGGTCAGGGCACACCTGAGACCCTTGTGTCCAATGCTTCCTTCTAAGATGGTTGGTCATCCAGTTGCTTCATATCTTTCTATCAAGACGAGTTGTCAAGAGCAACCCTCACACCAGAGAATGGCAAATGCCACTTGGATAGAAGAAAAAACGCTCCAAACACAAGTTATAATATCTGATGTTTATTGGTGACCTATCATGTGCCAGGCATTGTGCTGTTGAGTCCCCGTGACCGCCTGTGGAGGTGTGAGCACGTGCTGCTCTGTGTTACAGATGAGGGAACTGAAGCCAAGAGAGGTGAATGTCCTTGCCGAGATCACACAGCCGTCTCATGTGGAGCCGGGCTTAGGGTGAGTCTGACTCCAGAGACAGCCTTTAATCACACTCTGATGCCTGTATACAGTTCCTCTGCAGCCAGGAGAGAACTTTAGTGGTACCTGCAGAGATCAGAACTGTAGAAAGTGAATGTGCTGATAATATAACTCCGAGTATTAAAGGAGCCAAGTAAGGCTGACGCCTCCAGCTGACATTCTCAAGGCATTTCCCTGGGTGTTTGCTGGGGAAAGATTGTATGGTCATGGCTGGGGCCCAGTGCGCTGCCTAGAAACCTGCTAAATATGCTTCCCATTATGACTTAACCTCAGTCTTGAGCTTAGAATTATTTTATATGGTAAAGGATGTAGTCACTGGTGAAAATAAATCCAACCTCTAAGTAGACACTTAGGTTTGAAAAGGTTTTCGAATAGGAAAATGTTCATTATACATCATTAGTGAGGTTTTTAAATGCAAACTACAGATATCTCTTTCTATCTATCTATAGATATAGATATATCTATCTATCTATCTATAGATCTATCTATCTATCTATCTATAGATATAGATATATCTATCTATATATAGATATATAGCAAGATCCAAATGTTGCATCTTAAAAAAAGATATTCATACATAAAAAAGCCCAAAGGAATACAGAAAAAGACTAACTTTGGAGGCTAGTATTATGGATTATTTTTATTTTCTCATTTGCGCTTTTCTATAGTTTCCAAATTTTCTATAATGAGGTGCATTATATCCATAACTTAAAAGTTATTAAATTTTTAACAAAGGTTTCTGAGTATAAGAGGCATAAGACTTCCATTACAACCACAAGCTTTGTTCTTCTTTCAACCTTCTTTCTTCATTTATTTATTTATTCTTTCAACAAACATCCACTGGTTTCTGCTGTGCAGGGCTCTCACTTCAAGTGGATCAGACAGATTCCCTTGAGGCATTCCCTGTGCAGTGGTGGACCGACAGATGAACAGATGCTCAGACATGAATGATCCCCTAGATGTGAGCCCCATGAGGACAGGACCCTGCCTGGTTCATCTCTGTATCCCAGTACCTGGGATGGGGTCTGAAACAGAGTTAGGAACTTTGGAAATACTTATGAACAAATGGGTGAAATAAGGGAGACAGGAGTTCAAATCCCAGTTCGTTAAGTTCTAGTTTCCACTTCTGCAAAATAGGGGAATAATACCTACCTCATGGGATTGTCTGAAGGCTCAACTAACACACAGAAATCTTTTTATACAAACCTGGAAATAGCAGTAGGCCCTCAACAAAGAACAGAAATAATGTATTTCAAATTGGGTGGGTTCTGACGGTGTACAAAGTCTGGGGTCAGGCCTTCCTCTGCCAGTATTTGGAGGTTGACTAGAAAGAAATTTGGTTTAAAATTTGGAGAAGAGTGTGTAGACTATATTCTTATTTATCTAAGAATTATCTAATGAAAGGATAGGGACTTCCCTGATAGTCCAGTGGTTAAGAATCCGCCTTCCAATGCAGGGGATGTGGGTTCGATCCCTGGTCAGGAGACTAAGATCCCACGTGCCGCAGGGCAACTAAGCCCGCATGACACAACTACTGAGCCCATGCGGCACCACTACTGAGCCTGTGCGCCTCAACTAGAGAGAAGCCCGCATGCCGCAATGAAGATCCTGCGTGCCGCAACTAAGACCCGACGCAGCCAAAAATAAAATAAAATAAATAAATATACATTAAGAAATAAATAAAATGAAAGGCTAAATGAAAAATTTGAAGCAGCAAAAGTTATCTAACAGGAGAGGAAGGGAACAGGGTAGAGGGGCGGAGACAGAAGCTAGACTACTTGTAATATTCCATGATTTGTGGACCTGAGTTGGAAACCAGGCAAATATTCTCCATAACCATATTATAAACATGTTAAATGTTTGGAAAAGAAATTCCAAATAACAAAAGGAAAACAAACAAACAAAAAGCTGACTTATGGCAAGTTGGTGATAGATACATGGAGAGGAATTCCTCCAAGCGACTAAAACACAGCAGTCTTGACTGTCCATCCCTAATAAGGTATTCCCTAAAGGCAAAGTAAAAATAAATAAACTGCAAAAGAAAAAAATCAATAATTGCATTTTTGGTGGTATTGGTATTCTCATCTGAGAGTATTGTGTAGAGTAGGACTTAGCAAATGAGTGTATCTTTTGCTGGGAACTGGGAAGAAAGGACACACAGCATGGGAGAAAGGATATGCAGATGTAAGACGGATGAGACTAAGTAAAAACACTATAGCCCTGAATTTAAATTAGAAATGTCAACTGAACTCATATTTTGAAAATAAATTAACAGACTTTATTTTTTTAGCAGTTTTAGGGTTACAGAAAAATTGAATAGAAAGTACCAAGAGTTCCCATATACCCCTTCATCTCCACCTCCCCCAATTTCCCCCATTATTTAACATCTTGCATTAGTGGAGTACACTTGTTACAACTGATGAGCTAATACTGATATATAATTATGACCCAAGGTCCATAGTTGATATTAGGATTCAGTCTAGGTGCTGCACATTTTAAGGGTTGTGACAAACATACAATGACACGTATCCACCATTGTAGTATCATACAGAATAGTTTCCGTGCCCTAAAAATCCCCTGTGTTCTGCCTATTCACCCCTCCCACCCACCCCCCAACTCCTGGCAACCACGGATCTGTCTCCAGAGTCTTGCCTTTTTCAGAATATCGTATAGTTGGAATCATACAATATGTATCCTTTTCAGATTGACTTCTCTCACCTAGCAATATACATTTAAGGCTCCTTTATGTCTTTTCATTGCTTGGTACCTCATTTCTTTTTACCACTGAATAGCGTTCCATTGTGTGGATATACTAGTTTGTTTATCCGTTCACCTTCTAAAGGACATCTTTTTTGCTTCCAAGTTTGGGTAGTTATGACTCACGATATATCCAATCTTTAAAAAAACAAATGTATTTCCTAGCTCTGTCCACTGAAAATGCCCAGAAACAATGACCAACCCAATGGCAATAAGCATCCCTTAAACCTTAACTGTGGTCTCTAAATACCACTACCCACTCCAAGAAACCAGGGATCCTGGAAGAAATGGCTGATTCCAGGTCTGGGGCAGAAAATGTCCAAGACAAACCTGGGCATCTTGCTATTCCAGAAAGCAAGGAAGTTATCAAAGCCTACTGAGGTCAAAAGGCTGCAGGAGCCAATCCAAAGAGCTTCACTCTGGTCTTGTGGGATCATTTGAGTATCAATAAGGATAATAATTGCAGGGGATTGAAACACACCAAATAACATTAAATCCCTATGTTCATAATGATACTAAAAAATTAATAATAATAACTCAATAAAAAATAACTCCAAGGCTGTCAGGAAACCAACTCAGTATGTGAGAACTATTAAAGAATCAAGTCTTTGTACTATCTGTATTGTAGGTATGAAGGATATTGTACTGTACCTTGGGGTAACTAAAGAGTTGAAGAAGAGAAGTTTCGCTTTTACAAGTATTCCAGCTAATAAATGAAGAAGGAAGACAGAATTAGAATATCATCACTTTGCAATCCCCAATGAAAGAATGAACTTGGGCAATGGACATCAATGACTGCTAACCTCACAAAAAGAGAGATCACAAGACATTATGGGCTTCCTGATGGAAGGACAGGATACCTCCCGTGAAGTATTATGGCCAAAAATCGAACCTGAACCTCATCAAGCCTTAAATCTAATTACAGGAAATACAGAGGACAGAGGAACACGTTAAAGGAACTCACAGGAATACAGTCCAGATTGAGGAAAACTCTACAGGACAAACAACCAGGTTCCTTCAACAAATAAATGACAGGGGTAGAGAGGGGGGGGGGGGGGGGGCGGATTATAGATTAAAAGGGACATATATTGACTTTTTTACAAGGTACAAAAAACATTTATGAGACCATCAAAGAAATGTAAACAATGACTAGATATGTGTGATGATAATTTCTCCAGCTGTGATAATGGTATTATGGCTATAGCCTTTTTCTTTTTTAATATATTTATTTATTTATTTTTGGCTGTGCTGGGTCTTCGTTTCTGTGCGAGGGCTTTCTCTAGTTGTGGCAAGCGGGGGCCCCTCTTCATTGTGGTGCGCAGGCCTCTCACTGTCGCGGCCTCTCTTGTTGCGGAGCACAGGCTCCAGACGCGCAGGCTCAGTAGTTGTGGCTCACGGGCCTAGTTGCTCCGCGGCATCCGTGGAGATCTGTGGGATCTTCCCAGACCAGGACTTGAACCCGTGCCCCTGCATTGGCAGGCAGATTCTCAACTACTGCGCCACCAGGGAAGCCCAGCCTTCTTTTTTAAAAAAGATTTTCTTAATTTTTAGAAAGATACAGCCAAATAGCTACGGTTGAGATGTTAAGAGTGTCTGGGATTTGCTTCAAAATAATCCATTGGGATAGAGGAATTGGGGTGGAATGTAGATGAAACAAGATTGTGCATGAGTTATAATTGTTAAAGCTGGGTGATAGATATATTATTCTCTCTACTTTTATATACGTTTGAAATTTTCCATAATAAAAAAAATAAAGCTTACCAAAAATAAAAATATAAGCTCCTTTTAACAAAGCCAGAGGCAACCCAGGGTCTCTTGTGCCTCTGATGTTTTTACGTTGTCACTTCTTTGTGTAAAATTGACCTGACTGGACTTCCCTGGTGGCGCAGTGGTTAAGAATTCGCCTGCCAATGCAGGGGACACGGGTTCGAGCCCTGGTCTGGCAAGATCCCACATGCCGCGGAGCAACTAAGTCCGTGCGCCACAATTACTGAGGCCCAGGCGCCTAGAGCCCATGCTCCGCAACAAGAGAAGCCAACGCAATGAGAAGCCCGCACACCGCAACGAAGAGTAGCCCCTGCTCGCTGTAGCTAGAGAAAGCCCGACGCAGCAAAGAAGACCCAAAGCAGCCAAAAATAAATTAATTAAATAATTTTTTTAAAAAAATAGGGCTTCCCTGGTGGCGCAGTGGTTGAGAGTCCGCCTGCCGATGCAGGGGACGCGGGTTCGTGCCCCGGTCCGGGAAGATCCCACATGCCGCGGAGCGGCTGGGCCCATGAGCCATGGCCGCTGAGCCTGTGCATCCGGAGCCTGTGCTCTGCAACGGGAAAGGCCACAAGAGTGAGAGCCCCGCGTACCGCAAAAAAAAAAAAAAAAATGACCTGACTGGTAACTTTCTTCCCCTTTTCCTTCCAAGTGCCTGCTGGTGAGCTGCTTCTAACCTGCCTGAGCAGAGGTCAGGAGGGGCCGCCTGTGATGCCCCCTCCCAGTATCAGCCTGCACTGTGCGAAGCACTACCAACCACCAGGCAGAAGGAACCAAGCTGGGTGGGGCCCCCAGCCCTGAAGCCAACTTTGCTTCAGCGAAGTAGGAGGATTTTAACCCCCACTACCACTTGGGCAGGCTGCTCTCTGGGTCACACCAGTGCCGGGCGCTCACAGCCTGGCATAAACCAGGTAGATAAAAGCAGAAACGTGTAGTGATTAAGAGCCTGGGCTCTGAAAGACACAGGTTCAAATCCCAGCTCTCCCAGCATGTGTCTTCCACTGCCTGAACCTCAATTTCCCCACCTGTAGATGGGGAACAATACGAGCGCCTTCCTCGTAAAGCTGGTGTGTGCATTCAGTGAGAATGTGTGTGAAGCAGTGAGCTCATGGCCAGGCTGGAGTGGCTCCCGACAAATGGTGATTATTTCTGCTGCTATTATTATTGTTATTATTTTATATTAATTATTCTACAGCTAGAATAGGAAGTAGAGCTTTTCCCCCCAAAATTATTCCTTATATTTGCCTCTTTCCAAAGCATGTTGTATTATGGGACATTCTCTCAATTATTTCATGTGACCAACAGAACACTGTTTGGGGAAGATGCATTAGCCTGAAATGACCTCACTGGGTGCTCATTTTGGATGTTAATCGCAGTAAGCTGACAAATGGGCTAAAAGAGATCAAGTAATTTCGTGTAGCTTTAGAATTTCTCCTGGGAGTGTGGCCTGGCACACACAGGGGTTGCACACTGTTGCAAACAAGCCTTTTACAACTCACTTTATGATGCAATATAGAAGCTCTGCAGATTATGAATGTGTACCTACAAGGAGAATAAGTATAGCCCACTGTCATAATGTGTGGCAAAGTGGTATTTGTGGCTGGGATAATTACCATGCTAAGCATGAATCTGTGTGTCAAACAGTTTAGAGAGAAGTGGAGAGAGGTCCTCTGGAAAGCGATGCTGAACGTTTTGAAAAGTGGCTCCGTAATGACAAAGGACACAGCTTCACAAATGCAGGGGAAGCACAGGCAACGAAAGCAAAAATAGATAAATTGGACCTCAAAATTGAACATTTCTGTGCATTTAAAGGACATGATCAACAGAGTGAAAATACAACCCACTGTATGGGAGAAATATTTGCAAATTATATATTTGACAAGAGGTTAATATCCAGAATACATAAAGAACTCCTATAACTCAACAACAACCAAAAACCCCGGGTCTTCCCTGGTGGCACAGTGGTTAAAGAATCCACCTGCCAATGCAGGGGACATGGGTTTAATCCCAGGTCTGGGAAGATCCCACATGCTGCGGAGCAACTAAGTCCGTGCGCCACAACTACTGAGCCTGTGCTCTAGAGCCATGAGCCACAATTACTGAAGCCCGCGCACCTAGAGCCCATGCTCCGCAACAGGAGAAGCCACCACAATGAGAAGCCCGCGCACCGCAACAAAGTGTAGCCCCTGCTCGCCGCAACTACAGAAACCCTGCATGCAGCAACGAAGACCCAATGCAGCCAAAAATAAATACACAAAAATTTTTAAAAAACCAAAACAACCCAAAACCCCATCAAACATGAGGGGAAGACTTGGTAGACATTTCTCCAAAGAAGGTATACAAATGTCCAATAAGCACATGAAAAAATGCTCAGCATCTGGGACTTCCCTGGTGGTCCAGTGGTTAAGAACCCGCCTTCCAATGCAGGGGACATCGGTTCGATCCCTGGTCGGGGAACTAAGATCCCACATGTCACGGGGCAACTAAGCCTGTGGGCCGCAACTACTGAGTCCACACACCACAATCAGAGAGAAGCCCACGCACTGCAACAAAAAGCCCATGTGCCGCAACTAAGACCCGATGCAGCCAAAAATAATATAAATAAATAAATAAATAAATATTAAAAAAAAATGCTTAGCATCACTATTCATTGGGGACGTGTAAATGAAAACTACGATGACACCACATCACACCCATTAGGATACTACTAACAAAACACAGAGGAGGTGGAGAAATTGGAACCCTTGTGCACTGTTGGTGGAAGTGTAAAATGGTGCAGCCACCGTGGAAAACAGTAAGGCGCTTCCTCAAAACAATTAAAATAGAATCACCATATGATCCAGCAAATCGAATTCTGGGTATACACCCAAAAGAACTGAAAGCAGGGATTTGAAGAGATATTTGTCTACTCATGTTCATAGCCGCGTTATTCACCATAGCCAAGGGGTGGAAGCAACTCAAGTGTCCACTGACAGATAAATGGATTAAAAAAATGTGGTATATATGTACAATGGAATACCATTCAGTCTTAAAAAAGAAGGAACTTCTGACACATGCTGTAACACAGATGAACCTCAAGGACATTATGTTAAGTGAAATAAGCCGTCACAGATGGACAAATACGTATGATTACACCTAAGTAAGATACCTAGAGCAGTCAAATTCATAGAGACAGAAAGTTGAATGGTGGTTGCCAGGGGGTCAGAGAAGGAGAGAATAGGAAGTTATTGTTTACTGGGGACAGAGTTTCAGTTTTTTTTTTTAATTGGAGTATAGTTGCTTTACAATGTTGTGTTAGTTTCTGTTGTACGACAAAGTGAATCAGCTATACGTACACATACATCCCCTCCCTCTTGAACCTCCCTCCCACCCCCGCATCCCACCCCCCTAGGTCACCACGGTGCACCGAGCTGAGCTCTCTGCACTACACAGCAGGTTCCCACCGGCTATCTGTTTTACACATGGTAGTGTATATATGTCAGTCCCAATCTCCCGGTACATCTCACCCCCCCTTCCCCCACCCATGTCCACACGTCCGTTCTCTATGTCTACGTCTCTATTCCTGTCCTGCAAATAGGTTCATCAGTACCATTTTTCTAGATTCCACATATACACGTTAATATATATTTGTTTTTCTCTTTCTGACTTACTTCACTCTGTATGACAGATGCTAGGTCCATCCACGTCTCTACAAATGACTCAATTTCGTTCCTTGTTATGGCTGAGTAATACTCCACTGTATATATGTACCACATCTTCTTTATCCATTCATCTGTCTATGGACATTTATGTTGCTTCCATGTCCTGGCTTTTGCAAGATGAGAGGAGTTCTGGAAATGGGTGACGGCTGTACAACCAGTGTGAATATACTTAATGCCACTGTACACTTAAAAATAGTTAAGATGGTAAATTTTATGTTACGTGGATTTCATCACAATTAAAAACAATAATAAAAAAAGGAAGAAATGCAAGTGAAGAGTCTGAAACTAAACTGTTTCAGAAACTGCAAGAAAAAAACAATATTTATATTTACTATCTCCTTTTAACCCATTTGTCAGGTTACTGTTATAAACATCCAAAATTATAATAATAAAAATTGTTATTATAATTTTTCCGGTAATATCCAACTCAAATTAATATTTTAAGTAGGCATTGGACAGTTTCTTTGTCTTGAGTTTCTATACTCAAGTTGGCCAAAAACATTTGGGAATATCTTCTTTTTGTTTGTTTGTTTGTTTGTTTTTGTTTTTGTTTTTTTTCAGTACGCGGGCCTCTCACTGCCGTGGCCTCTCCCCTTGCGGAGCACAGCCTCCGGACGCGCAGGCTCAGCGGCCATGTCTCACGGGCCCAGCCGCTCCGCGGCATGTGGGATCTTCCCGGACCGGGGCACGAACCCGTGTCCCCTGAATCGGCAGGCGGACTCTCAACCACTGCGCCATTAGGGAAGCCCGGGAATATCTTCTTGTTAGGCAAATGCAGGGTGTTCTCCATCCCTCCTCACATGTTCAGGGCATAATGGAATCATCTCCCATCACCACGGTCCCCCAGCCCGGCGCGCTCCTTGGGCAGCCTGGACTGTTCTGGGCTCCCACACAACCTAGAACTCAGAGCTCAGGGCCCTAAGACTCCCATGAAGACTTCCGTCCCCTCAAAGGTGCGCTTCCTAAATGCAGAAAACATTTATTGTCTAAAAGGCTCTTGTTTGGGTGTGAGGGAGGTGCAAGAGGGAGGGGATATGGGGATATATGTACACACACAGCTGATTCACCTTGTTATACAGCAGAAACTAACACAACGCTGTAAAGCAATTATACTCCAATAAAGATGTTAAAAAAAATAAAAATAAATAAAAGGCTCTTGTTTGTGTTATACTTCTTAACGTTCTTTTATTAAAAAGAAATGAGCTTCTCAAAGAAATGGTTGAAAACAGATTTTTAAAATTGCTCCCATGCCCTAACACCCTGAAAACACAGGTTTCCTTTTGCGGGGTCCCCTCAGGGCTGTCACCTTCCAATTGCCCACACAATGACCTCCTTCCATGGGAATCTGGCCTCCGCTCAGGGGTGGCAGACAAGGGCTTGAGGCCTTACGGTTGGAGCCCTGACGGTCACCACCATGCACTGGGTGCTTATGATGGAGACCAGGCTCCCCGTTACCTCTTCTTGTCCTCTTGCACTGCGTGAGACACCACAGCGCCCCCAGGAGTTGCCTCTATGGTTGCCATCAAGAATCCCCAGGTATGTCAACTATACCTCAATCTTTAAAAATTAAAAAAAAAAAGAATCTCCAGAAACAGAGAACAGCCTCTCCTTTCCTCACCCTCTGCCATCTCCCTCCCCCAGGCCCCTTAGCTCCTCCCCCATCCCCAAGACCCTGCTGCCTCAGTTTCCCCAGATCATTCTACCCTCCCCTAGAATCTAGCAGGCCCAAGTCTCCATTTGCATCTTCTCCAGCATGGGCTGTGAGTCCAAGCTTTCTTCTTCCCCATTCTTAGCGCTCCCCCGGAGAAGGGAAGGCAGCGAAGGGGGGACGAAATGGGATGCTCATTCAGTACAAGAAATCAGAGTCATCTTATGCTGTGAGAAGTCATTTCTTGCCTTGAGTCCTCAGCTGGTCTACAGAGGAGATGCATAGCTCCAACCACCGAGCAAGCGCAATGTGGACCGTGTTATATTTCAAGGGCACTTGTCCCCTCCCCGTCTTACAGATCCCCTTCACTGCCTTGACGCTGAGGATGTGCTCCCTATCACTCCTTCCTGAGACCACACGGGGACGGGAGAAGGGTGGGGAAGACAGATAACCCATGTCACCATGATGGAGAAACACACGTTGCTGAAAACATATAAGAGGTAGACAGATCTAAGCTAGTATAGGGAGTGAAGGAAGCCTCCTGGGAGGTGGTGACATTTACACTGAGACAGAAAGGATGAACAGGAGTAAGCTAGGAATAGAGTGGAGAAAGCCTGCCAGGCAAAGGGAACAGCCTGTTCAGAGCCTGCAGGCAGGAGAGAGTAGGAGCTGCTTGAGAAGCTGAAACAAGGCCAGTACACTTGGCATGTAGTGCAGCCTGGAGGGGAAGGAGGTAGGGATGAGGCCAGGGAGGTGGACAAG